GAGATTCACAGGCGGATCAGTGCAGCGGCTGCAGTAATGCGGTCGCTGTATCAGTCTGTTGTGGCGAAGAAGGAGCTGAGCCGAAAGGCGAAACTCTCGATTTACCGGTCGATCTACGTTCCTACCCTCACCTTTGGTCATGAGCTCTGGGTCATGACCGAAAGAACAAGATCCCAGATACAAGCGGCTGAAATTAGCTTTCTCTGCAGGGTGGCAGAGCACCCCCTTAGAGATGGGTGAGGAGCTCTGTCACACGAGAGGAGCTCAAAGTAGAGCCACTGCTTCTCCACATCGAGAAGAGTCAGCTGAGGTGGCTTGGGCATTTACATCGCATGCTCCCCGGACGCCTCGGGTGCCGTCCCCTAGGAGGAGACCTAGGGGAAGACCTAGGACACGCTGGAGCGACTACGTCGCTCGGCTGGCCTGGGAACGCCTTGGGGTCCCCCCAGAAGAGCTGGAGGAAGTGTCAAGGGAGAGGGAAGTCTGGGTGTCCCTGCTCAGACTGTTGCCCCCGCGACCGGGCCCCAGATAGGCAGTTGATGATGGATGGATGGATGGAGTTTAAAAAATGTGCAAACTTTTTGTCATTACGAACTTTACCTCCGTTCATTCCCATCGAAAAAGCCTCCAGATGAACTGTCCTCTCTGTAGGGTTTGCATAAGAAAGCGTAGTTGTTCACTGAGTTTCCTGAATCTGAGGAAATGTCTCTGTTCCTGAATCTCAGCTTCTCTGGTGAAGTCAGACGCCGACTCAGGTTGTTTTCATTGTCAGTCACACTCGTCTTTTCCATGCCAGTTTTGTTGAACAGTGGAGACGACGTATGGTTTCCTGAATTGTAATCGTGATGACCATCGATCTGGCTGGATGGATCCCAAGACCCTTTTAGGGACTGACCTCTGGTTTGTGCCGACAATATCTGAAAGTAGACAAACGGACCATGGCTTAAAACCAAGCAGGTGTCAACAAATGCCAGCTGCTGCCTGGTTTAAATGCTGCTGCGAAAGTTCTCTATAGTAGCACATACTGTAATTCCTGCGAAAACACAGAGAAGAGATTTCTGTTTTTTTCTTTCGCTTTGGACTTTGAAACTAAAGTCATCATGCAGATTCAAAGCATGCGATTAACCTCAGATGAAGGTTGGAACAAACTGAAGTCAGAGAATCAAGAGGAAACGAAAGTCTCTCTAAACTAACATATTTATATGAAGGCAGAACAAAAGAGCAGAGAAAAAAGGGAGAGAAAGAGAAACTACAAAATGTGTTGATAAATCTAGTAATCAACTCTAACTGCAGAGAACAGAAGAAGAAATAAAACTATAGCCCCATCGGAAAAGCCTCATTTAAAAAACATTGGACAAACATCACAGGATGGGTCTTATGTAGGAAAAGAAAGAACTGCAGACAAAGAGAGAGCCATCGTTCTAACTAAGAGAACCCTCAGAACAGGTCAGACAACTGTCAGCTCTCTCCTTTCAACAGTAAACAATCGGCCTGCACCTACCTACAAGTAAATCCCTGAATCTGCGGATAGCATCCACTTACCAATCAAGATTTCCTCCTTAAGTAGGTAAGGTGTAAGAAAAAGGGAAGAGCG